ACATATCTTGTGTGTACTACCACAGTCTGTATAAGTTTACAACTACATCTGTCCTGTTATGCACCAGCTCTGGCTCTTACAATCTCTCAGCTTCTCTTCAGCAGAGCTCTGAGTCTCAATGAAAACACATAACTTTCGATGAACCTGTGCCATTTAGGCCTGAGTGCTCTAAGTTCTCTCACACTTTACACATTGTCCACTTGTGGGTCTCTGTGTTAGTTCCCATCTACTATTAGGAGAATCTCTGACGCAGGTTGAGCAAATGGGTATAGCAATCATTGTACTGCTATGTTACTTTACAAAAATAATATTAATAGGTATTCCCCTAGACCTAAGACTGATCTATCATATTAATGACCTTTTGATAGCAGCGTTAGAAGTGTATCCACTCATGGAATTTGTCTTAAATCAAATCAGAAGGTGTTTGGTTAATCCTAAACATTGTGATACTATTTAAATAGTATAACTTGCAAAGCATGTCACTGGTACAGGTTACAGAGTTTGTAGTGATGTAATACCAGGTTTGAATGCTAATATTTGTGGTTTGTACTTGTTTTTCAATGATTAGCAGAAAAATACCAAGATAAAATTGACAAAAGAATAATAATATAATCTGAAAAATGGTATTTATTCATTTTTCCTTCATTTCTTTGAAAATATGTCCTGACCAAATCTGGGATGTTTTTTTTTTTTTTCCAGAACAGAAGGTACTTAAATTCTCTACTTAGGCATCCTCAATAAACAATGGAGGTTGATACAATGAAAGTCAGAAATGTTTTTCATGACTAGAGTTGGGGAAAACATCCACTTAAACTAATTTAAGGCAAATTGCAATATTTCTCCTTATGTGTATGTTGGTTGAATTTGCCATTCAGTTGTTGTAAAGGAATAAACAACAGCCAGAAATCTTCTAATAAGACAACTTTTCCCAAATCATTAAAGATTTAAACAAATATTAGAAATAATAAAGTATGAATTGGTTTTTGAATAGGTACTGATTTTACCATGCATTCGCATATTTAGTCTATGATGTTTAAGCAGAAGAAATCAAGAGAGAAAAACATCTTTTTAGAAGAAAATCTTCAAATATTGAAATATTAACTAATTTATCTTTTACTTATTTCATTTATAAGGTAGAATCTTGAGGTGCTACCTAAATTGATACTAGACTTCCAAGGTCCTAGTGTTGTATTTTGGCAACCATTATTTTTTCAAGTCATCAAGTACTTCTTGCTTTGTGATTTTGTTCCAAGAATTTGGAATATTACCTAAATTTGTAAATTTTTTTCCATATCTCTCCTCAAGCTCTGATTTGAAGTGACAGATAAACCATTTCCAATATGGCTGGTGAGATGAGTCTGGGGTGATGCTCCATGTGGCAAAATCACCTCCAGCTTCTCGATATTTTTTATATGGGAATTTCTTGTCATCACTTAAAATAAATGAATTATCACTTGCTACAGAAGTAGTACAGATGTCAGTGGCAAAGTAGTCTGTTTTATGCTTATGCCATCCATTGACAGCCTTAGGGCGGTGGAATGGAACACTGTGGTCTCCTTCATGTTGGGGGAATGGTGTTTGTGCAAATCGCTTTACAAAATTCTCGATATTTTTTATATGGGAATTTCTTGTCATCACTTAAAATAAATGATTTATCACTTGCAACAAGAGTCGTACAGCACTCAATGATAAAGTTGTCTGTTTTAATCCAGTGCCATCCATTGACAGCCTGAGGATGGTGGAAAGGCACACTGTGGTCTCCTTCATGATGGGGAATGGTGTTTGTGCAAATCGCTTTACAAAAAGGACACTGTTTCCAGCAGCCACAGAGATGTTCAGAGAGAATTTTCTCAATGTCAGGAACCATTTCATCTTTGGGCCTCCTTGAGTAGTCCTCTTCTACTTTCCTCATTGCAGGATCCAAAGCTGCACTCATGGCTTCTTTAAGAAACTCAGTATCCTTTATCTCCTGGTGCTCGATGCTTATCAGGTCTCTTCTTGGAAAGATCAGGTTGCTCCCTAGATGATCACAGAACAAATCCAACCAGCCAGAAGCAGTGCTATTATCATTAGCCACTTCTGTGGTCTTATGAATGGCAGAGAGAATGGCATTCTTGATGTCACCTAAACTTATTTTTAAAAATGTTTTTAGTTTTTCACCTTCTTTTTCTGAACAGTATCTTCTAATGTGGTCTCCAATGTAATCCCTGAAAAAGGATTGTGGCTGATGAATGTATTGCCAATACTTATCAAAGTTTAATTCTTCTGCCAGAGAAATGAGAATATGTTTCTCCAAGTTAGCTCTGTTTCCATTGAATTCAGGGCAGGTAGATCTCATGTCCCCAGCTACTTTAAGACCCATTATTTCCCATATGGTGGCAGAGATAGCAGGAGTGAGTTTGAGCCACAGGAAGTCAACAAAGGATGTGATGGAAGTGGCACCTTGGCAGGATATTTTAAAACTCAAGAAGAAATCATCTTTCTTGCTCTCCAGATAGTTCACAGGATCATTTGCTGTCTTGAATGCCTTGTGCATTTCCTTGAATCTCTTAGATGCTTTTTGGAAGAAGCACAAGGATAAGTCAATGGTGTAGTCTCTTGTAAACGTATAGTCTTCCTCAGGGGAAACAGCCTTCAGTTCATTTTCTATTATAACCAGGATTTTATGAAAATCATTCTGACTGTAATCACGCTTTTCCTTCCAAATGTTTTTTATTGTTTCATCAAATATTAAAACAATGTTATCAGTAGTTTTATTAATGGACTCTTTATGGCAAGTTTCTAAACTTCTTGGAATTATATGATATCTTTTTTTCATTTGGACATGCTTGTCATAATTGACACAAAATATTTCTTCATCCTTTCTTTTCAGTCTTTCTGCAATATTTTTGTCCTTTGTGAAATGCTCTAGAAAAATGCTTTCAGCATCCCCATCTATGTTGGGCTCTGTGACAGGAGGTGCAGTAGAAGACACATTGTAGATCCACTTTGTCCAAACTTGATTGAATTCCTCATGCAACTCTTCATCACTTAATTCTTTACCTTTCACACTTAAAGCCAACTTCCGGCTGTTCTCTAACAATTCATTTTCATATTGTGACTTTTGGTTATCTAGTCTTTCTTGACTTTGTTTAAGACTGATGAGTTCATTGCCTTTCCTTCTGGTGTCTGAAAGAAGTGTATCTTTAAGAATTAGTAGCTTGTGTTCAAAATTTGCTTTCCATTGAACCAATGTTTCACTATCTGGGTCTTCTTGAAAATATTTGTCAAATTCTTGCTTGATAGCTTCATATTTCTTGTTAAGTGGACCCTCCAGTGCATTGGTTGTGAGTGTCAGGATTTTTCCATTCTGAATCTGATTGTTCAGCTGATTCTGTAATTCTAGCACATGGCTCCTTAGCTCCCAAGTCCAGTGGTTATACATGGTTTCCAGTTTACTCATGGCTATTATCTCTTGGGTGTTCCTAAAACTGAAAACAAAGTTCTCACTGACCAGAGCTTTCCATAAATCTTGAACTCGAAATTTTACATCTGAGATCTTCATGATCCTTCCCCTGGATTCCTGCTGGGCAGTCCTAAGAATCCCATTCTTCAACTCCTGGACATTATGACTATAGCGAGGATTGGGAGGGGCCATTGGGGGATTGCCATCCCAGAGGTGAGCAAAGTAATAGACATTACTATTGGCATCAAATTTAATTACATCACTGAAGCGAGTTATGTTTGAACACTCTTCCTGTTCAGCGGCTAATGCTGTCATTTCATCCAGTCTCTGCTCTAGTCTTCTTCGTCCTTCCATAGTTTGGTCTTTTGCTGTAATTTCTCCCACATTCTGATGGACAAAAATACAACTGGGAGATATTTTCACTTGCTTCATTCTCAGAAAGGCCTGAACAACTATTTGAAGGATGTCCTGCATCTCTGATGGATTCTCCCCAAAAATATTGATGAGAGTCAAGTTTCCAAGGCCAATGACAAATGTTGCCAACTCATTGTCCCAATTCTGGGATTTGTTGTTGAGTTCTGGAGCCCGAAGTCCTTCTGTGTCTACAACAAGCATAAAATCAAAGCCAAGTTCTTCTGTGACTTTCTTATCCACCTCTAGGAGCTGCATGTAGGCCCCCTTGGTGCATCTGCCTGCACTAACTGTGAATTCTAACCCAAACAGTGCATTTAGTAGGGTAGACTTCCCTGAGCTTTGCAGGCCAAGAACAGACAGAACAAATAGCCTTTTGTCTTCAACTTTTTCTGAGAGCTTGTCAAAAACAGCTGCCACCCACTTTAGAGGCACATATGAAGCATCCCCATCCATGAGCTCAATGGGAACACCAGCTACCATCAGGTCTGCAGCTATTTGAGGGAGGCAGAGAAAAAGGCTATCTCTAGAGGAGGAAATTTCTTCTAGGGCTTCATAGATCTGGCCAACTTCTCGAAGAAGGTGTTCAATTCCAAAAGTGCAATCAAGAATCTCAATAGAAATGACTTCTATCTGCTTCTGCCAGAGTGTCATGGAGCTGCTCTTCTCTGCCTTTTGCTTTTCTTCCTGAACCACTGACCACAAAGATTGTTTTTTCATATGCAAATTTTCTAGGTGTCCCGAGGTTAGGTTTTCCAAAACCACACTTAGCCAGTATAAGAAATAGAGTTTGAGGTCATTTTCTGAGTCTTCTATGAGAATCTTCAGGACTGATTTCATTAAATCATTGATAGGGGAAACCTTTTCCAACTGCTGCCATCGTATTTTTTGCTTTTCTGTCTCAAGTTCACTCTTGTGTTGTTCAATGCTCCGATGCCCTTTTTCTTGCAGATGATAGAGTCCTTTGTCCTTCTTACACCAAAGGTGCCACAGTTGTCCCTGAAGAGGCAAGAAGTTTTCTTTTATCTGAGATAAGTTGGATTGTTTGAGGAGTTCCATAGTTGTCTGGGCTTTTTCTTTGGCTTCCTTTAATTTTCTTTGATCTTCATCAATCATGATTCCTTGTTTACGAGCAACCTGTGAACAGTCTTCTACACTGAGAGCAGTGCCAGAGATCTCTAGCAAATGCTTGATGGTAGTCGTGAGTTCTTCTGTTAATTCTGCCTCATTTCTATTCTTAATACCAATTCTTACCTTTCTGCCAGAATTATTAGTCATGACTTTTTCTTTATCATCAATTAAACAAACCAGTGTTTTTGATGACTGCCATAGTTGTCTGACAATTTTTTGGTGTTCTTTATTGTTATCAGAAGCTGACATGAGGATCACTATGAGAGAAGAGACATCCTGCAAGAAGCTGAGTTGCTGCCTATGTTCTTTGGCATCTCCATGAAGATTGGTGAAGGCCACACACTTGTCCAATATGTCCTCCCCCTGGCTTCCTGGGCAGAACCAGCAGATCTCTACCACTCCCTCCATCAGAAGACAGTGTTTGCTGCTTCCTCTGCAGTGTCTGTGAAAAAATACATCATGTTTATGTTTACTGAGGAGAGAGTTCATGATCTGAGATTTGGAAGCAGCAAGACCATTTCCAACTCTAATGAAGGACACAATAGGGGTAGAGACACAGCACATCTGCTGATTCTTGTGACTGTAGCTTTTGTCCTGTGGTGATTTTCTTGACTCTTGCCAACTTCTCCGAACTTGTCTGAGAGACCAGAGAGAGAATTCTATCTGAGAGGTATTTGGATTTGGTACAACAAGGGGCAGTGCAAATTGACAAATAGAAAGTTTTGACAAAATATATTGCCTGGCAAGATCATCTGCACAGTGAAAAATGACCATCTGGATGTCCATTGGGTGAATTTGGGTCTGACACTCAGTGGGTGAAGAATTACTGACTTCCTCTCTGTCATCTAACAACTCTTCATATGGATCAATATCATCATTTTCTTGGTTGCAGGGATCTACAAAATGTTGGGTTTCTGCATTTCCAGCTTTTTTGAAGATCAGATGTCTGAACCCACAATCTAGCATCAGTAGCTTTTGTAGGAAATAGAAGGGAAGTTCCTGTTCAGATCCTGGCTGTGTATTGTATACAGAATTCTTGTAGATCAGATGGAAGTCAGCAATGCTTATCCTTTTTGGGTAGTGATGTTCTAGGCCTAGACGCTGGAGTAAGTCCAGGAAAGGTCCTTTTTTTATCACCTCTTTTTCATTGTTATCATCATCTTGTTGTTCATATGTTTCTTTCTTTTTATTCAGGAAACTTTGCAATTGTTTTTTCACCTCGTCCATTTGCAAAGAACAGATGATGTCTTCATATTTCCCATCAATGAGTAACTTCAAATTCTTCTCTAAAGTACCCCAATCATGATCTGGTCCAAATTTTGTGAGGACATGTGCAACTTTAGCAGACAGTAAGTGCTCCATGTGTTGGTCTATTAATGACAAGCGTTTTGCTTTTTCTTCTGGGGAAATGGCTGAGACCCCAGCTGTGGTTGTCAGAGCTTTGAGCACCAGGAATGCCTGTGCCCTGTCAGTGCAGAGTGTTTTGAGTTCCTGATATATGTGTTGGACAGCTTGTATTTCATCCAGGAGGAAGGTTAACTCAGCACACCCCAGGAGAGGCTGGAAAATACTGCTTTCCAGCCGATAGCCTGCCCCAGCTGCAATGGAGAGTAGTAGCAGCAGCATGTCTGGCTGCTTTGCTTCTCTGAGGTAGTTCAAGAAGGACACAAGAGCTGTGGTGACATCATATGTAGCCTTTCTTTGAGCCTCTTCTTCTCTTTCTGGGGACTCAGATTTGATGTTTGCTTCTGTGAGAGAGTTTTGGATTTCTTTTAATTTTTTAAGGAATTCAGACAATTCAGTGATTTTTATCTGTTCCTCTGACTCTATCTGGGAGATCCACTGCATGATTGACTTCACTTGTGGAAAGTTTTTTACTTTGTAGACATGAGGTTCCAGAAGGCTGCGTAACTGAGATTTAATAAACTGAGTATTTTTAATAGAAGAGATTTTGCAAAAGTTGACAGTACTTATGATAAAATTCTGTAGATCCAAATTTGTGAGGCATGTATTAATCCAAATATCATACCCTTTTGTTTTGTCAGCCAATGCTTGCATGCAATCCATCAGTTTATTAAGTTGATTTTCATGGTCAGAGACCTCCCAGCATTTCACATCATCCAGGAATTGTTCTGCTTCCTTTCTGGGACTCAGCACCTCCTCTCTAGCTGTGATGTTGGCATCAAGGCCTGTCAGAGCAGAGTAGTTGTCTGCCAGACACCTAGCCACCAGAAGGGGGTCCTTAAAATTGCTTCTGTGGTTAGATAGGATGACTTCCCAAATGGGAACCAGCTGAAGTTCTCGGTCAATGACAGACCAGGTTTTGTTGCTGGCAAGAAGCCCAGTTGTCCACTGAGCAATTCCATTAGCTTCCGGTGGTCCACCTATCTGAGCCACAGACAATTGGACTTGGATTTGGAGCTGTTGGTTAGTTGCATTTTTGTAGCGTCTGATTGAATGTGAGTCTGATGTTGCCATCTCTCCCCCAACTTCAATCCCCAAACCACTGTAGCTCCCCCTTATATAAGTCTCCAAGGCATCTGTTGTCTGCTGCTTCACTCTATCCAGCTGGTCACTTTTGAAACCCTCTGAAATGGCCTTCCAGCAGTAGATTCCCCCAAGGTGCAGAGGGCCTCGATTAGCATGGGAGCCAAATCTGTTGAAGAAGTTTTCAGTTCTGTTCCTCACTACTTGGAATCTGTCTATTCCATCAGTGTCTTCTAGTTGCTCCTCAATGATTTTCAGTTCCTTAAGAGCACCTTTGGAGAGCTGGAGCTGATCAGTCTGAAAGTGGAAGGAGGCTAGTGGGTTGTAGCTGAACATTGATGAGCAGAAATAAGAGTGCTTAGAACATGATTGGTGGGCATCTTTGGATTCTGAATGGTTGACTTTTTCTATCCCACCTTCTGAACTAAATCCCCAGCCTCCACCCTGGACTGACAGTGTTGACCTGAAACCGAGCTTCTCCACAGTTTCAGTGAACAGAGATTCTTCTTTAGAAGATGTGAATTCTTTTGTTTCCATCCGTTTTCCTTGCTCAGATCCAAAGAGATAGAATTCCTGGGGGACCCTGAGTAATTCTTCTCTCCTTATTACCAGGTCTTTTGGGTTGGAGGTCTTATAAATTCCCCTCAGGGCCA